TGTATATCTGTCTGTCTGATATGAGGATAAGGAATAAGATGGGGGCGAGTACTGTGCCTTGTGGAACAGAGCTCTTCACTATGGCAGCCTCCGATTTAACTCTGTTGACCACTACTCTTGTGTTCGATTTGTTAGGAAGTTGAAGATCCATCTCCCCACTTTCCCAGTTATTCCTTTAGCACGTATTTTATGGGCTATTATGCCATGATCGCATTTGTCAAATGCTTTTGCAAAGTCTGTGTATATTACATCTGCATTCTGATTTTCTTTCCAGTGCATCCAAGGCCATGTCATAGTGATCCAGTAGTTGAGAGGCAGGAGCGACCTGCCTTGAGCCCATGTTGCCCTGGATTGTACAGATTTTGGGAATCCAGGTGATTTGCAATCCTGCTTCTTAGCACTCTTTCAAAGATTTTTATGATGTGGGACGTCAGAGCTATTGGTCTATAGTTCTTAGCTAATGCTTTGCTGCCACCTTTATGAAGTGGGGCTATATCCGTTGTTTTTAAGTAACTGAAATTTCACCCATGTCCAAGCTGCTCCTCCATAGTGTACTTAGGGCACGCAAGAGGGGTTTCTTGCAGTTCTTAATGAAAACAGAGTTCCACGAGTCTGGGCCCGGGGCTGAGTGCATAGGCATGTTGTCAATGGCTTTTTCGAAATCTATCGGAGTTAGGATAATGTCGGAAATCTGGCTATACATTTATGGAGTTTTGAGGCTCATTCATGAAGAAATCATTTGGGTAGTCGATCCTCAGACCGATTAGTGGTTCACTAAACAGTCTTACTGAGATTTCAATATTTCACTCATTTCCTTGTTGTCATCTGTGTAAGTCCCATCCTGTCTGAGTAAGGGCCTGATACTAGATGTGGTATTTGCCTTGTTTTTGGCATATGAAAAGAAATATTTTGAATTTCTTTCAATTTCACTAATAGCTTTAAGCTCCTCCTGGCCTCTCCTGGTTCCTGTAAGTCATTTAGCTTAAGTTCGATAGTTTCCACTTCCCTGGTCAGCGCCTCCTTTCGTGTATCAGATATTCTAGCACTCCTGAGGAGCTCGGGGGACTCTTCGTCGTCTTCTGTAGAGGGAGTGTCTTTCTCCAGTTTACTCCTGCTCTTCTTTCTTAGGGGAATATGCCTAGAACATGCTTTGGCTACCAGGAAGTTGATCCTTTCAAGGCACTGGTTTGGATCCATGTCATTTAAGACATCTTCCCAACATGTTTCGTTTAGGACATGGTTTACCTGGTCCCAGTTGATGTTCTTGTTGTTGAAGTTGTATTTTGTGAAGACACCTTCACAGGTACATGCATTCTGCTGATCAGGACCCCTATGCATGTACGTCTGGACTTCGATTAGGTTGTGATCGGAATTAGTTGTTTTTGATATTCTTATGTCTCTTATCAGGTCCTCATTATTTGTGAAGATAAGGTCAAGTGTGTTTTTAGTCTTGTTGGCTCCACTATCTGCTGGCTTAAGGTGCATTTTTCGCAGAGACTTGGTAGCCCATGTGTGTGAGACCTTTCATCTGCGCTACCTCCGGGATTGTTTCAGCTATAACATTATTTGCTACATTCTTCCATTTTGGGATGCCTTAGGTTGAAATCACCAAGCAGTAAGATGTTTGGGGATGGAGCTGGAAGGTTTTCCAAACAGTAATCAATTTTCAGTAGCTGTTCCTTGAACTGTTGAGATTGCATCTGGTGGCTTGTATACAACCACAATGACTAGGTTTTGGTTCTCGATCTTTATTGATAGAACTTCAACTGTGCATGCCAGCACAGTGTGTAAGTATATTTAGGTACAGGTACACACACACGTACAATAATTATCAGCATAAGTACAGTGGAACCTTGACTGACGAATTTAATCGTTTCCAGGAGCTACTTCGTAACTCAATTTTTCTCGTGTATCAAATTAATTTTCCTCATTTAAATTAATTGAAAAGCCATTAATTTGTTCCTGCATTCTGGAAAGATGGAAAAAATACTTGAATATGATGCTATTATCAACTGTACGGCTTATTTAAACTATCACAAGTCATCTAATATGACCTAATAAACAATATTATAAGCACATAAACATGATACATGTATATACTGTAGAATGAATAAAATAGGGCCCTAATAGTGGCAGCGGCAGTATCATGTGGGGTTTCGAACACGTGGATAGGGTAAAGTAAATACTCACGTAGGCTGGAAGTACGTATATTACGGATAATGTGGGTAGCGCCCAAACAGCCGTGACCTGCCTCCTTGCTCACTCTCGTATAACTGACCGCCCACAGTACCCATATGTGGGGGTCTTTGAAATACTGCTGAGGTCAGCGGCAATATGAATACAGACAGTGACTCAGGCAGAGACGGTTGGTAGTGAGTCATCTACTGGTACACTGGTAACTGGTTACTACTACTGAGAGCAGAAGCGTCTGCCATTTCCGTCCCAATTTGACTATAGTACTATCTTCCCGTGTTCTTACTGTAAGAGAAAACTGAGTATTTTTGAGGTTAACTGCAGTAGATCATAGGACCCATGTTTAGAAAAAAGAAATTTGGCAAACTGTCTAAAAAAAAAAAAAAATAAATAAAATAAATGCAAACAAGCACGAGAGAACAGGGATGTAAACATGTTTACTGCTTACCAGCTGTACCAACTAGCAGAAGCAATCTGAATTATTATTACATACGTTTTTATGCATTATTATATTATTATTATTATTAATTTACGGAACTGCAGCTCTATCGTTATTATAATACAGTAGACCGCCACTGAAGAATTCTGCACAATTTTATGTAACACGTCGTATAATTAATTTAACATGGTTCAGTTTGTGGCAAGAAAAAAAAAATGCTCAAGCAGCTGCCTTGTGGAGCAGCTGGGGAGCCATCCTCTACCACTCCCCGGATCCCCCCCCCCTCACCATCCCAGCATTCATAATTCATACATGTCCAGTCTTTCTCTGCTACAAGGCAGCTGCGTTTGTCAAAATTTTGATATTTTAATTACTATATCTTGTATCTGCCAAGCAGTCATGACACCCAGTAGCCATAATAGTGTTGCTGAAAGTGGCACGAAGAGGTATAAGCACTTATGTATTAACAAAGATGTTAGACAAGAGAACCTGTAACCATAACTGAAGTGTTACTTGTACACAGAAAGAGGTTAACGTGAGTTTGTGTGACTTGACTGACTTGGTGAGTGACACCCAAATCTGCATGACAGTGTCTTCCATTGCACACACTGCAAGGCTCCAGGCGGACATCAACCAAATCTTTCAGTGGGCTGCAGAAAACTATGTGAAGTTCAACGATGAGAAATTTCAATTTACTCAGATATGGCAAACACGAGGAAATTAAATCTTCAGAGTACAAAACAAATTCTGGCCACAAAATAGAGCGAAACACCAACGTCAAAGACCTGGGAGTGATCATGTCGGAGGATCTCGCCTTCAAGGACCATAACATTGTATCAATCGCATCTGCTAGAAAAATGACAGGATGGATAATGAGAACCTTCAAAACTAGGGATGCCAAGCCCATGATGACTCTTCAGGTCACTTGTTCTATCTAGGCTGGAATATTGCTGCACACTAACAGCACCTTTCAAGGCAGGTGAAATTGCTGACCTAGAAAATGTACAGAGAACCTTCACGGCGCGCATAACGGAGATAAAACACCTCAATTACTGGGAGCGCTTGAGGTTCCTGAACCTGTATTCCCTGGAACGCAGGAGGGAGAGATACATGATTATATACACCTGGAAAATCCTAGAGGGACTAGTACCAAACTTGCACACGAAAATCACTCGCTACGAAAGCAAAAAACTAACGTCGGTTCCTAACCAGCCGGGCTGTGGCTCGTACGTTGGTTTGCGTGCAGCTAACAGTAACAGCCTGGTTGATCAGACTCTGATCCACCAGGAGGCCTGGTCACAGACCAGGCCGCTGGGGCTTTGACCCCCGGAACTCTCTCCAGGTAAACTTGCCGAGTGACTTGACTGGCTTGCCGAGTGACTTGACCCGACCCGCTGGGCGACTTGACCCGACCCGCTGGGCGACTTGACTGTAATATATTATTATTGCTGAGATAAAAAGAATGATTTCCATGGAATTAAAGCATGAAATTGTTAAACGAGCGAGGTGTCCAGGTTTTGGGTTGAGGGGGAAGAGGGAGGGGAGGAGCTGGCTCGTAACTCAGAACAAAAAATCGACCCAGGGACGGCTGGTATCTCAAAAAATTCATGAGTTGGGACACTCGTAAGTCAAGGTTCCGCTGTACCTATAAAATAGGCAATAACTTTAAAACACTTGAAATTTTGGAAAGTTTCCAGACAGAGAAATGTGCTCAGAGAATGTAAACAAACCGGGTGAGGCATGCCATACAAGAAAGACGTGTTGCTGTATAGCAAGTTTTGGTCGTAATTTGAAATTGCGGTATTAGAACACCGTAAGGCGAAACTGTAAAGCGGGGCCCTACTGTATAGTTAATTTTATTTGTATATTTGAACCAACATAAAATGTGGTTTCCTGAAAATTGGTTCTGCTTTAATTGGCATAGCTAGAGCTTGTAAGTGTAGGAAAAATGTTAATCATGAAATCTACAAGCGACATGGACTCGGTAATGGAACTGCATCGTTAAGTGAGGAGAGTCTGTACTGTACTGTAGTCTTCGCAAATGTTTTGATGCACAAGTATATTGTAGGGAAATATATGAATTTTTTAATTTTTATATCTTGAAATTTATTACTAGTTACTATACATCTAAACAGGAATTTAACTACATATTTGTGCCAGTGTTACTTTTATATTATAAATATTTCACATGGATAGCAGTTGGAATTAACCTGTTAAAAAGTATTGCCATACTTCTGTAGTAATTCTCCAGTAACATACTAAATGGTAAGAATTTGTAATAAACATTTACTGCATTAGACATTTTTCTTGCTATTTTTCTTTGCTGTCCTTAATTTTTTAATATGCCTGAAATCTAAATTTTCCTTAGGTGGACTGTACTGAAGATGGAAAGGATACCTGTGGAAAGTATGGAGTTTCAGGATACCCAACCTTAAAAATTTTTAAGGGTGGAGACCTTTCCTCTGACTATAATGGACCTAGAGAAGCTAGTAAGTATAATTTTATTTACATTTCTGTAATATCTTAGACATTAATTTTTTTTATTCAACTTAAAAGCAAAATCTAAAAATATTTCAAATTTCCAGATGGCATTGTCAAATACATGAGGTCACAGGTTGGCCCAGCATCGAAGGAGCTTACGTCTGTTGAAATGGCAGAGGCTTTCCTTGCTGCTCCTGATGTTAGTGTTGTATATTTTGGAGGAGATTCCAAACTGAAAGGCAAGTACCTATTAAAATTTGTTGCACGCTTGGAGTGTGTGCAAAAAGATGTAATGAAATGCCAATTGAGTGGATTTGGTAGTCCCCCTTCTGTTAAGTCCTAATAAGATTGAGGTCTAGGCATTTTGAGAGGAAGGAGCAAATAGCATGACTTATGAAAATGGGGTAAGACTGAAGGAGGCTTACGGGTCATCCCATGAGGGGTTGGAAGGAGCGGCTAAACGGTTTAGTGCCAGGGGCTTCAGCACACTGCAGACCGTTACTGGAGAGAAAAGTAGTTTTTATGGCTTTGATATCTTGATGTGAGCAAGGTAACATTTGTGTAGGCATTAGATAAAGCCAGTTAGACTGGTGGAAAGTAATTTTTCAGAGATGACTAGATTGTCAAGCATTACTAGCTTGTTTGGAAAATTTTTTATTTCTATCGCTATGAACAGTGCTGCAGTGGTGACAGGAAATGAGCAGCTTTCTTGTACACTATAAATGAATGTTAGCCTTGTTTCCCATGTTTTTTAGTGAATGGTTTGTTTCCTCTGGAGAATTTGCTATCAATAGCTAGATTATCATCAGAGGTACACCCTAACATGGGTGTAATCAGTAGGGATTTTATTAGGAAGGTTTGATTATAGATGTACTTATTAACCCTTTGACTGTTGCAAGCCCATTTCTGAAACTGTCATTTTATGTTGCAAAATTTTTGGACAGAAAAATTCTTGTGAAATGATAGAGAATCTTTTCCCAATGGTAATGACACCAAAAGTACGAAATTTGGTTGAAAATTTGTGGAATTACTCTCCGCGAAGTTAGCAATCTCAGTGATATATACGCATTGGCGATTTCGCCGACTTTGAGCCCTATTTTCAGCCAATTCCATTGTTCCAGTCGACCAAACTCGTAGCTATTTCTTTAGAACTCAATTTTTTCTATCAATTGAGTACAAGAAACTGCCCATTTACCGATTTCAGCTACCCAATAAAGTGGTCAGAAATTGGCAATTTGGCCAGTTTCATGCAAATTAAAAAAGATGCCAATTTCAAAATAGGGTCCAGAATAAACGATGCAGACATTCTTGGCACTAAAATAACAAATCCTCAGTTCAATAGTCACCTCTCCAGGCCCCTCTTATATTACGTTTGCTTTCTATTTTGATTTTTTATTTACACAAAAAATAGAAGATTTACTGTTATGCAGACTACTGCATTATTTTAAAAATGGTATAAATAATATCTGTGCACTAGTGAAAGAATGTTAGACTCCTCAATTGATGTGTATTGGGCATGTGGTGTGATTTGCTTACTCTTGAACATTGGTAAAAATTGAGCATTTCTGCTACTTTGAACTCAATACCAAGGTTGTTTTCATTATGAAACCGAAATCATCTCTATTTCTGCAATATGTTTTCAATTCTATCAAATGAAACCAAGAAAATGAGAATACAACCATAACTACTATACGAAAATACACCACAAAGTCGGCGTTTTAATCCAGAAATACGGAGTTTTTTTCCTCGTTTTGCACTGCGTGCTGCAAGATTTTTTTATACAGTGCACACTGACCACACAGACCCATTCTCTCGCATGTTCGTCCACCAGCTTTCTCCTGCTTGATTTGAAGCCTCTAGAATTGAGTGTATATACGTCCGAAACGCTGGCTCGTGAGACGTATATATACAGCCGAAACAGTCAAAGGGTTAATCGTTGAGTGAGAGGTTTCTTGTGTTTAGTAATTTTTGTGAATTTACTTGGTTTTTTAAGTTCTTGTATGCCTGAAAGTTTTGGGTGCTAAGCTCAATCTTACCTTATTTTCAGTTATGCTTTGTCAATGGCTGAGAGTATGCTGTTGATTAGCCTTGCTATTTAGTTAATCTTTTCTATTTTAAAGAGCTGCTTATTGTTGAGGCTTTGATTTTTTTTTTTTTTTTTTTTTTTTTTTTTTTTTTTTTTATTTGAAAGACAGACACTAGTGTCGTATGGGGTTCGGTAGGAGAATGATGGATAAGGTAAACTCGCTTGTTGGATGGTAACGATATATATTGTCAGACTGTGGTAAGGAAGGGATGGGCCCAGCCTGCCATGTTACTGCCTGGATGTCTATACGCCGAGTAAGAGCGAGGCAGCTCGTCTCGCTGCCTCAAGCTGTACCCCGTGACGTCATAGTCACAGGCCTAGGGAGCTTCTATATAAAGCACATGGATGGTACTGTGATACTCGGCTAATCTATATAACACATACAAGGGGATCAGCAACTATGCTGACACTAGTTTTGAGTGTTAAATTCTGCCAGTGTTACTGATGGCTATGCTATGACTATTCATTGATAATTGAGCCTCACTGTAATTTCATTAAAGTGGTAATGTTTTTGGTGATAAGGAAGGTTTGGGTAATCAGTTTTGTACTTGTCAAGATGGAGCAAAGTGAAGATACATTTCTCTAATTCTGACAGGTTTGGTTATTGAGTGTATTAATTAAAAATTATAATTTTTAGTTTAGGAAATCAGGTGATTGAATGAGGTTATTAATTTCCACCACTTGAGTGGGTTTTAGTCATTGCTGCCATCAGTTATTTTGGTAAATGTTTGCTGTTTATAGTTTCCCCAATAAATAGTTTCTGGTAATGGTTTGAACATTTTTAAAACCAGCTTTATTCCAGGCAGTTTTGTATTAGAAAATTGACAGAAATCGGAATTGTGTAATGTAATTCTGGTAATGAAAATGTCGCCATTAACAGTTCTTGCACTTCAGGATGTACATATTTTCTTATAAACTTTCTTATGAAGTAACTACTGTTTTAATTACTCCAGAAGAATTTAAAATCATTCCCTGTAACTCTCTAAACATGTAAATGTAGTGCTACAGTGAGCCTACACACCAAAGTTTTGATAAGCTGTATGACTGGATAGATTAATTTTAAGCTAACCATAAAGTCTTAATTCTGATTTCTTATTCCAGAGGCATTCCTCAAGGCTGCAGATAAACTACGTGAAACAGTCCGTTTCGCTCACTCTGTAAAAGCCGAAGTTAATGAAAAGTATGGGCATAATAATGTCATGGTGCTATTCCGACCAAAGCACTTGCAGAACAAGTTTGAACCTGCTTCAGTTGTTTATGATGGACCTAATGACAAATCTAAAATGGAGTCTTTTGTGAAGGAAAACTTGTAAGCATTGTGTTTGTATTTGCTACATTTGGGAGAAGCAGTTTGTCAACTTGCTTAAAATATTAGTGTGGTAGAGAAGTTTCTTAGCAAGTATTGATGTGCATAATGAAATTTGGTTGTTCCATGTCCATGTTTGTAACTTCAGTGACAATCATTTTAGTTTAAATGTTAGTATGCCATGTAACTTGTCTAGTTTGTGGTCTCGTAAAGGGTGCATTGTAGAACAACTTGTGTAGTTGAAAGTAATGGCTTGGTCAACATTGAGCACTTCTATAACTTTCTTCAGTGTCTAATATTGCTGGCAGTAACTCATTTGTATCCAGTTTACTTTTGTGGCAAGAAAATAAGCTTCTATTAAATAGTAAGAAATGAAATTCACACTGGACCTTAAAATGTATGGATAATGGCATTGAATGGAAAAGCCACTTCATGTAAAGGAAATTTACTTTAAATGTAATATTGAACTGCAGATTAAACAGCAGTAATTGCTGTTAATTTTAGTTATAATGCCCAACTTAATTTCCGTAGTTTAATTTGTCAAGTTGTTCCCCTTTATTCCTCTTTGTCAAACCAATTGCCCATTTATCTAGACATGATCACTTTAATTACTTTACACTGTACTGCAGCTGGGTTGTGCTTCAATATGATTTGTCCTGTACCACTCTTTTAATTGCCTGTCATATTAGTTTTATTTCCCACGTGATCATCATCACTTTGTAAATACAGCGGAATCTCTACTTACGAGTTTAATCCGTTCCATGACCTTGCTCACAACTGGATTTGCTAGTTTGCAGAGTCAGTTTTCCTCATTTAAATTAATTGAAATGTAATTAATTCGTTCCGGTGGAATTCCAGGCACGAGAAAATACTTCAATAATTTCCCTAATATCAACTCGACAGCTTATTTATGTATCACAATTCATGTAGTATGACCTAATAAACAATATTAATAACATAGAAACATGATATATACACTAGAATGAATAAAGTACATGTCATTAGGTATGTGGCTAGTGATGGTGACAGCAGCCATTGTTGGGGTTTATAGGGCCACCACAGCGGCCATTCCCGCTTCTGACTACATATGTAGAGCCTAGGATAACCCAAAAAAGTCAGTGACATATAAGTGCTACACTCTTAAGGCTTCACTTAATTGCTACACTCTTAATGCTACACTTAGCCACTGCTACCTCATGTTGTCTGCCACTGCTGCCTCATGTTGTCTGCCATTGCAGCTTCATGTCTGCCACTGCTACCTCATGTCAACCACTAATGTTGCCAAAGAATTGAACATTTCTGCTATTTTGAGCTCAATTTCAAGTTACTTTTCATCATGAAACCAATTAAAATCATATTTAGTTTTGTAGTATATCTTCCATTCTATCACATGAGACAAAATAAAACGAAAATACAACTATAAAAACCATACGAAAATGTACCGCTAAGGGGAGGCTAATGGCTGAGAAGTTAACTCCGTTATTTATGGTCCGATTTCTTTCATTTTTGGTGTACGTTAAGAAGCATCTTTTCATCATACATTGCCCAAGTTTCAATAAGATAGTCCAACAAACAACTGAGATCCAATTCCCTAGATAAAGAGCAAGAGCCCCCTCACCAGGGTTAATTAACCTCCCTTGAGGCCCACTCGCATCTGGAAATTTTGCTCGCGTCTGGAAGCAAAAAATCGACCGAGCAGCTGCTCGTATCTGGAAAAACTCGCACATGGACGCACTCGTAAGTAGAGGTTCCACTGTATTGTGCATGTATTATACAGAAGGGTGTGGGGGCAGAGGAAGATGAGCTTTGTCCTGCCTTGTTGCTCTAAAAACTTAGTTTATCCTCTACTTATGAACACCACAAAATCTGAAATTGCTCTTTTTAAACTGGGAGTGATGTTTTGCTTTGCAGATTGCAACATACAGTATATTCTCAAATCATAGCTTATAAAGTTTCCTCCCCATTGCCATTTTACAAATTAGACTAGTTTGTTTGAGTGCAGTCTGCTCATAGAATAAAATGCTAATCCATGCTGTGCATTAAGAAAAGCTACTACAATTAGTGATTCAGATGACTGTAGAGCAACATTAGTATCATTGGCTCCAGTTGCAGCTAAAAATTTGACAGTTGTATGGGCAGTGCTGTATATTCTACTGAAATGTGTAGCTTGCCCCTGTCTAATTTGTAAACCCATCTTCCACTGAAAAAACGGGTAATTGTAATTGACTGGTGATGGGAATGAATGACTCCCAATAGTGTTATGGAGGAAACTGCTCACTCTGCAGTCAACGGGGAAAAAAGTATTGCAAAGACAAGGTTCGTATGTAAGATGTTGCATTCTGCATTTGGGTTTCATGGCCTACCACAGTTTGAAACCCATGTAATATTTAAATGCTTCGGTTGGGAGACGACTGACTTGTTAAAAAAGTGTGTGTGTGGGGGGGGGTCATTTAGAGAGAATGGATCAAAGTAGAATGACATGGAAAGCATATAAATCTATAGGGGAAGGAAGGCTGGGGAGGGGTCGTTCTCGAATGCAAACAAACCAGATGAACGCTTCTGGTTTTCATAAAGTCCTACAAGTTGCCTGGCTGCCACAGGTCCTACAAGTTGCCTGGCTGCCACAGGTCCTACAAGTTGCCTGGCTGCCACAGGTCCTACAAGTTTTCCCGGCCCGCCAAACCCGGCTCCCCTTAAAAGGCCCCCTGCCCAGTCTGCAAATTTCCCGGGGTGCCACGGTCCCCAAGTTGCCCCGGGCGCCCAGGTCCTGCAAATTGCCCGGCTGCCCCAGGTTTTCCCGGGGAAGTTGCCGGTTGCCCAGGGCCCCGCAAAATTTCCCGGCGCCAAAAGGTCCTGCAAGTTGCCCGGCTGCCCCCAGGTCCTGAAAGTTGCCCGGCTGCCACAGGCCTGCAAGTTTTCCCGGCTGCCACAGGTCCTGCAAGTTGCCCGGCGCCACAGGTCCCGCAAGTTGCCCGGCTTTCCCCAAAAGGGCCTGCAAGTTCCCGGGGTGCCACAGGTCCTGCAAGTTGCCGGCTGCCACAGGCCTGCAAGTTGCCCGGTGCCCAGGTCCTCAAGTTGCCCGGCTGCCAAGGTCCCCAAGTTGCCCGGTGCCCCCAGGTCCCGCAAGTTGCCCGGCTGCCACAGGTCCGCAAGTTGCCGGGTGCCACATCCTGCAAGTTTCCCGGCGCCACAGGTCCGCAATGCCCCGGCTGCCACAGGTCCCGCAAGTTGGCCCCTGCCACAGGCCTGCAAGTTGCCCCGGGTGCCCCGGGGCCTGCAAGTTGCCCGGGGTGCCCCAGGTCCGCAATTTTCCCGGCTGCCACAGGTCCTGCAAGTTGCCCGGGGTGCCAAGGTCCCCGAAGTTTTTCCCCCGGGTGCCACAGGTCCTGCAAGTTGCCCGGCGCCACAGGTCTGAAGTTTTCCCCCCCTGCCAAGGTCCTGCAAGTTGCCCCCCCCGCCAAGGTCCCGCAAGTTGCCCGGTGCCACGGTCCCGCAAATGCCCGGCGGGCCCCAGGTCCCGCAAGTTGCCCGGCTGCCACGGTCCTGCAAGTTGCCCGGCTCCACAGGTCCTGCAAGTTCCCCGGGTGCCCCCAGGTCCTCAAGTTTGCCCCCGGTGCCACGGGCCCGCAAGTTGCCCCGGGTGCCACAGGTTTCCGCAAGTTGCCCGGGTTTCCACAGGTTTCCCGCAAGTTCCCGGCTTGCCACAGGGCCTGCAAGGGGGGCCCGGCTGCCACAGGTCTGCAAGTTGCCCGGCTGCCACAGGTCCTGCAAGTTGCCCGGGCTGCCACAGGTTTCCTGCAATTTGTCTGGCTGCTGCATCCATTTTTTAAATTTATTCTATGTGGGGTTTTTTAAGATGGATTAAGCAAATTGTCTTAAAATAACATTTTATACGTATTTAAATTTGCTCCTTAGTGATTTTTATTGTGTTATTATTAATATGACATCTTCAAGACTATTAAGACACTTTTTAGTGATTTTAATGTGTACCTGCTGCCAGCCAGTGCATAAGTTTTACTTGGTACAGGTACACATATTTTAAAATTATCATTTAAAAAAAATAATGTAGGTATGAGTCAGCCTGGCTACATCCCTACCCTACCCATGCACAGATATTTAAGCACCCAGAAACTATTCCACCTTTGACTATCTGTTCACCGATTTTAATCGTTTCTAAAAAATTTCCTTTAGATGATAAATAAACAAAGGGAAAAGTAATGAATTAAAGTCAAAAAATTTGTAAAAAAGGTTATGTATTAACCCCCTTAAAAACGGTTCCAAAAAACGTTTATATGTTCACCGCGAGCCCCAAAAATTTTTTTTGAGAAAAAAAATCTTTTTTTTAAAAAAGGGAAAAAAAAAACATTGGTACCCCGGCACCCCCCAATTTTTTAAAATGGCCACAGTGGTGCCACACCCCTTCTCTCATGTCTAGGTACTCAGGCTTATCATGGCAATGTTTAATGAATGACAAAAAAAACGTATATATACGTTTGGGGCGCTACGCGCGTGAACGTATATATACGTTTGGACCGTTTAAGGGTTAAGGGGAGTGATGTAATGTTTTCCCTCCGCCCGTCTACCACACCTCCATAGTATATAAACAATGTTTGTGTGTTATGTAACGTGTTTCTTGTATAATTTTGAAGAAAATATCATAGATGGATTAATGAAAATGTCTATATTAACGTAAAATAAGACATTAGTGATTACTATTACATAGAGATGTGCTCATGGAGAATGTAAACAAACCGGGTGGCCTGCGCCATATTTGAAAGACCACTTGCCATATAGAAAGTTTTGGTCATAATTTGAGATCGCTGTTTTAGCAGAATGCCATAAGGCGAAATGCCGAAAAGCGGGGCCCTGCTGTACTTAAGGTGGGTGGCACAGTGCAGAACCTGCACTTCCCACCTTGAGGAGGGCAGTGGAATATTTAAGTTGGATCATTTGAATTTTGTCTTGTTACTTATAAGATAATATTTTTTCTTGGGTAGGTGGTAAGTTGGTACACAGCATCCATCCATGGAGGTAATAGTTCTGTAAAGTTAGTGAAATGGAAACTGGTTAAATAGTTTGTACTGGTTGACTTCTGTGTCTCATGAATATTTATGACTGGTAATTTTTCAGTGATGGTGAAAGTGTTGAATGATTAAAGTTTTTTTTCTTTTGGGTTCTTGTTTTTGGGTCGCCCTGCCTCAGTAGGAAGTGGCCAATGTATTTAAAAAAAAATTTAAATTTTTATTTTAAATTCAGTATGTGCACTTGTTTTCTGTGCTTCTTGATAGTTCATCTTGTAATATTTACATTTAACCTAGGTTTGGTCTGAGATCAAGCTGTGAAGAAATTCCCTAGAATTGCTAACAGATAACCCTAGTATAGTGGAGGATAGCCACTTTAGCAACAACAACAACAACAACAACAAAATCTTTCTAGTTCAGATAAACTTTTTCATTAATTACAGAAAATTGAGTTAAGTGAATGTTCAACTTTCACAGCCATGGTTTGGTGGGTCACCGTACTCAAGATACTGCCTCAGACTTCGTTAATCCTCTTGTGGTTGCATATTACAATGTTGATTATGTGAAGAATGCCAAGGGAACTAACTACTGGCGTAACCGCATTCTGAAGGTAGGATATTGGGGTTTTAGTTCTTTAGCTTGTTAATGCTGTACTTTAACTATTTTAATAGTTTTATTATTGTAATTTAAAATTAATTCTTCTGCTTACAGGTAGCACAGAACTTCGATGATTTTAACTTTGCTGTGTCTAATAAGGATGATTTCCAACACGAATTAAATGAATTTGGTCTTGATTTTGTTTCTGGAGATAAGCCTGTGATTTGTGCCAGAAATGCAAAGTCTCAAAAATTTGTCATGAAAGAAGAATTCTCGTGAGTATTTTTACTGCCTTGTAGTTTATGGTAATTCAATAGATTGCAACAGTGGCGGGTAGTGCCGTACAGTCAACTTGTTGGTTGAAAATTTCTGATCAAATTCTCTTGACAGAATGGAAACTTTTGAAGCCTTCCTCAACAAACTTAAAGCTGATGAACTAGAACCTTACTTGAAGTCAGAAGATATTCCTGTACAAGATGGCCCAGTCACTGTTGCAGTTGGCAAGAACTTTGATGAAGTTTGTAACAAATTCTGAGAAGGATGTGCTGATTGAGTTTTATGCACCTTGGTGTGGACATTGCAAGAAGTTGGCACCCACGTATGATGAACTTGGTGAAGCGGTATGTTAGTTGCATTTAAGTTGCTTGTAATCAGTATTTGCATTATAAATTTGTTGGTTGATAAAATGTAATGGACTTGCCTGAAGATAATTTCAGTGTCCCTGCTTTTGTGACCCAGTCCCAGCCTTTTAAATATGATACCTTTATGGTGGGGAATAGAAAAATTATAACCTTGTTACTGAATTTACATTGGGAATGGCTGAATGAGGGCAATTCATCACCTTATCTGGTGGGAGACAGCTGGTGTTGAATACTTACATTCCAGCTCTTCTTTCATGTTTATCAGACGATTAAACAAATTACTTTTGTTAGCACATCAATATGTAAATTCCATTGAATGAAATAAATGCACTGGCATTCATACTCGCCTCACCCAAGACCAAAATCTCTTGTTCTTGTCAACCCTTTCACTCTCGTATGAAAGTCTTTGACACCAGTGATACTCGTGTAGATATAAGTTGAAAGAACAGCATCCTCAAATGTGCTGTGAGGTAAATTTTGGCCTAGATATGATAGAATGGGTGTGGAGCAAGTGTGCAGAGTATAAAAATCCTACCTAATGCAGTGCATGATGAGGAAAACCAAACTCTGATCTTTTGCTTAAAATTAGCAACTGAGGGCGATTTCTAGGGGGGGTTTTCATATTTTATTGGTTCCTGGGTATCTTTTCGGTAGAATAGAGGAAGTCTGGTGAGTTAATAAAAGTATTAGTCAGAGGGTGAAGAAGAGGGGTTGTTGAGGTGGTTTGGTCATTTAGAGAGAATGGATCACAGTAGAATGACATGGAAAGCTTAAATCTATAGGGGGAAGGGAAAGGGGGGGTAGGGGGCGGGCCTCGAAAGGGTTGGAGGAGAGGGGGTTTAAAGGGAGGTTTTGTGGGTAAGGGGCTTGGACTTCCGCAAGCGTGCGTGAGCGTGTTAGAATAGGAGTGAATGGAGGAAAGAATTTGGTACTTGGGACCTGGGCGATCTGTTGGGGTGAGCAGGGTAAAATTTAGTGAAGGGATTCAGGGAACCGGTTATTTTCATATAGTCGGACTTGAGTCCTGGAAAAGGGAAGTACAATGCCTGCACTTTAAAGGAGGGGTTTGGGATATTGGCAGTTTGGAGGGATATGTTGTGTATCTTTATATGTTTATGCTTCTAGACTGTTGTATTCTGAGCACCTCTGCAAAACAGTGATAATGTGCGAGTGTGGTGAAAGTGTTGAATGATGATGAAAGTATTTTCTTTTTGGGGATTTTCTTTCTTTTTTGGGTCACCCTGCCTCGGTGGGAGACGGCCGACTTGTTGAAAAAAAAAAAAAAAAAAAAAAAAAAAACTGGTTGGGAAAGATGGTTTTGTTCAGTTGCAGGACTAAAGTAGCTTGAAATAGGACTCAAAAGTATTGAAAGTTTTAAATTTTTTAGCAATTTTCTGAAAAAGGGGTAGACTCTTAATCAGTAAAACAAAGCATAGTAGTGAAGTAGCTATAAATTTTGGGTTTGAATTGAGCAGTGGAATTGGCTTAGAAAAGACTGTTGGTGAAATTGCTGCTGTATAAATGGCACTTGGACTCCCAATTTTGTTGCGTGCATGATTCTGCAAATTTCTTAATTTACATTTTTCAGTGTCATATACTTCGGATATTTACCATTTAAGGAGAGCTTTTAAATTGTTAGTCAGCATGTTGATTTCAGGGATCATGACAGTGAAAGGGTTAATTAGCCCTAGGTAAAAAAATTCTCACTCTTAGTAAATTACTAAACATGCAGTCTTCATCCATTTCCCCCATACGTAGGGTTTTGGGTCTTTCCTTGGTCACATCTTTCAGTTTTTTCTGGCATAAAGAACTTGCTCTAAAACACTTTTTACCTTGGTGACTTGAAGGGCCTTTATGTCTGGAAGTGGCAGACCCAGCAGGGGCCTCTTGATGAAGCGGGAATAATTACTTGGAAATGAATCTCTTGATTTGTCTCGTGCATACCTGTAACCTGTAGTGCTGCTTGTGGTGTGTAGCTGACGAGCACTGTCGGGCCCATGGTTTTAGGCCTTTTCCACTTTCATCCCTTCTAGCACCAGTGTGCCTGTAATTTAACTTAATGTCATTTGACTTTATTTTAAAGAATTTTTTAAAATTCTTTATAAATTTTGATAATATAGGGATTTACCTGTTTTGCTTGTGCTGTCTAATTTTTCATTGAAATTGGCAACTCAGTTTGACAAACTTTTAAAAAATGCTTTGCTGACTGCTCTTGCTATGTTATAGCCATCCCAGTATTACTGCATTGTCCTTGTAAATCTTTCAACGTACCACCCGTTTTCCCACTAAAGGTTTGGGGTGGCCCAAAGGAAAAAAAACAAAAGTTTTGCTTTTTAAATTTAGTAATGTATACAGGAGAAGGGGTTATCCTTGTAAATATCTAGCATAAATCTTATCCCGGCTTTTCTTTTTCTGTAGCTTTTTGCATTAGTGATGTCTAACTTCGGGCACTTGCTTTCTAATGCTTTCCCTGATATCCATTTTCGGGGTTTGGGTCAATAAAGGTGGTTAAACCTCTAAATGAGAGTTTATTAGCATTTTTATCACATTGGCCATTTACCATCAAGATGGATTAGTGCTAAATATAGTAATACCTGTGGACTTTTTCTTGGTGTTATGGAATCATTTTTTTTTTTACAAGTCGGCCGTCTCCCACTGGGGCGGGGTGACCCAAAAAAGATAAAAACCCCCAAAAAAAATATTTTTAAATCATCATTCAACACTTTCACCTCACTCACAAAATATTCCTATAGATTAAATTAAACATGGTAATAATGAAAGTAACAAGGAAAGTTCTTAATTGCAGATGAAAAATGAAGATGTAGACATTGTGAAGATGGATGCCACGGCTAATGATTTCCATCTTCTTTTAAAATGTGAGAGGATTCCCAAACTATACTGGAAACCAAAAGGACAAGACCCTGTTCCATATAAGGGTAAGTCAAAAGTTCAAAGCCTTTTTTTAAAAGATGAAAAACTAGTTGCGGTGAAAGACTTGTGCAGGGAAAGGCTCAAATTACATTTTCTTCAACTGTTCGGCTTAGTGTCATTTTTCCCCAGTTTAAAGTTGTGTTCTAGCTATTTTAGTTTTGTTTATGCTTCCAGTAGCTTTTTGATGTGCTAGTATTTAAAGATTAGTTTTTAGGAAGCATTTCCCCATGTCACATCTGGAAAATAGAAGTACAGTAGTAAGGTTTGAAAAAGATTTTTTTTCCTTGTATCAAGAGCATAATGACCTTCATCCTAGATGGTAATAGTTACTGATGATTAATATGTCATAACAGAAAGATGTATAAATATTTCGGGAATTTTTTTTTTTCTCTTCCAGGGTGGCCCGGGAACTGGACGAATTCATAAAAAAAATTGCCAAAGAAGCTACAAATGAGCTCAAGGGTTGGGACAGGAAAGGAAATGCAAAGAAGAGTGAACTGTGAGATCTGTGGAATCCAGTTTACTGGCAGAGGCTTTTAGTGCTTCGGAAGTGAAGATTGTTAATAGGTGCGGATTTATTTTCTAAACTATGTTGAAAATTCATTGGAGTGCTCTTCAGAAAAGGTATTACATGCTTCTCTACTTTTAATGACTGATCAGTATTTATAGACTGAAGATGAAAGGAGAATCACACCAGTGACGATTTCAGTGCCTGTATGTGGTGTGATTGCGGATAAATGTTAGTGTAATCATATAAATTTGTTTAGTGTTTGTTAAAAGTATTTTTTGTTATTTGGATGCTATGCACAGAATCATACTGCATTTTTTTTCTTACAATCATTCCTGCCTTGTTTTGAACATGAGTGCACAAGTTTCTGAAAATATGGTTTGAGTTTACTTAATAAATTTTCTAATATAGTTGACTTTTTATTTCCTAGGAAAGCTTCACTATCTTTACTTTGTGTATTTAAAAGATTTATTTGGTAAGTTTATCAATGAATCTGCAGTAACCTGGTTTTTCTGCTTTGGTACACAAGATACCTATTGTGTAATGGGGTTTTTGCAAAACTAATATTAGTTTGAAAGTTGCTTTTAAGAATTTTAAATAACTGCTTTAGAATGGAATTATCCTGTGATTTTTATTGGCAATTGGTTTCAAATTTTATTGATGGAGGCTGGCTGAAATATGAAGTATAAAGGCTATAGCAATAGAGAAAGCAGTGGAAAATAGTTTCATTTCCAACTAAGTGGGTTACCCACCTAATAATGTGCAGATGGCTGGACACATTCTGCAGTTAAAGGATTATTCTTGGGCATTTGGAATTTCAGAACATTCCAGTACTAAATATGCTCTTTCCTCCACCCCGACGTTACCACCTTAGCATGATGGTAAGGTGATTTGTACCTGGGTTAGGAGCCTCTTCTCGGGTAGGGATGAAATTCTTCTCTCAAAAGGTTCCCTAATAAAAAACCCATAAATTTTTGTTTTAAATTTGCTGTGACTTTGATATAGAATGTAATTGGTAAAAATTAAGATACTACTTGTTGGGTTAATTTTTGAAATTTTTCAGTAAATTCAAATAATATATAATTTGATTATTGTAAGAAAATTGGGTTTTAAAAAGCTAAAAACAAATGGAAATTTAGTTGCCTTTGTAAAATAAAAAAAAACTTTTAAAAAACTGACTTTTCTCTCGAGAAAACTGGCATTGATCCTTTAATGCCCACTGGTGTATAAAGCCAACAGTTGGGTTTCTGCCACTGTTCATATTTAAACGGCACCTAGGGGGGGTGCTTGTCTAGGGGCATATAAAATATTAGGAAAAAAAAGCCACCTAAAGGGCCGAAAGGTAAAATACACTAAAAGCACTAAATAGCTGGGCAATACATTTCAGGAAGGACATGCTTTGATAAAAATATACACATAAATAGAACATGTGCACACAACTCTACATTTCACATCTCTCAAAAATCGTGAATACATTCACTAGGTACTTAAAATTTGGCCATATTTTATTTAAAATCAAAACCAAGTGCTAAAGGCATAAGGTCATTAGGCCCCAGTATACAATTTTTAATGAAACCTGTAGATTGCCATTCCTTGTGGGCTTCCAACCTGCCAGCAAAAAAAAAAAAAGTAACCATTTCTGCACGTCCAATAATCACACAGGCCCCCCCATAAAACCCGGGCCAAATTAAGATTACAAAAAAAAAATATTTCCTGAAAAGACATGGCTTAAAACTTGCCCAAAATACCACCCCCATACTTAACCAAACACCACCACCACCTTGTTCCAACAACTGCCAGACTAATCAAGCTGACCCCCCACAGCTCTCCCAGTGTTCACGTCTAATAAGTGTCCCACTGGCTGTCCATTTGCCATTCAATTCTCAACTTGTGTCCACTTAAGCACGGACCTTCATTACACTAGAAACAGTTACAAATTCATTACAACAATGCAGTAACCTGCATAACCACCCACATCATCCTTGCTGGTCACAAGAGACTTACGTTAGACTATTCACCTTGTGGAGAGGTGCCACTACGAGAATTAACATTAGCTACAGTGCTCGTCATAAAAGCTGGTGCACCCTCAAACCATGATCACAAACTAGCATAGAAATTTGTGGTGTACCTAGCAGTGATTTAGTATTTTGTAAGTCATCCCTCATGTATTTGGATTCTTCAGTCATCTAGGAAGAGATTTGCATAAATTTTTGAGGGTTTCTGAGTTAAATTCTTCACTGGGTGGTAACCTCCTGCCTTGGGAGTGAGCTGATGTCCTTCCCTTGTAGATCTATTATCACGTCCCAGATATTCTCGATCGGGGTTAGTCTGGAAATTTTCTGGCCAGTCATTGAAGGATACTCTAGTCAAGAAGCCACTGAAAAACTGGTTTAGCAGTGTAGCAGGGAGCATTCGTGCCTGAAAATCTTTGCACCATGCTGAGTGAAAGATTCAGGCAAATTATTATAGAGGAATTCAAAGTACGATAGCTGTACTAGTTCATAGGTTGGTATTTAGGCATCACAGCCAACACTGTTAGCACTAAAGCCAGGACCATAAGTTTGGAGTTTTGTAGTATCACAGATGTAACATAGGTACAGGGGGTTGGTACATGGGCAGAGTTAGTGAAAATGACTCTATCACTTGAACACCTACCACTATTCCTTGGTCCATTTTTGTATTTGCAAAACTAGACACTTCTCTGCACAGTGGCTCAAAAATTGGTTTCTGGAAAAGTCGATAACTGGTGTAATCGAGCCCCATCATGTCTTAAAACTTCTGATACATGTGAAGCAGTCCTGGAGTCTTTTAGTCTACCATGCACTGTGTCAAACCCCCTATTTGGAATTCTGGTAATGTTCCTACTGCTGTCGAGTTTATGAAACTGCACTCGCATGTCGCACAGGACTTATGGATACTCCAGAGAAACTACCACCACTGCTCTGCAGGCACAGATGGGTCACACACAGTCCACCATATCTTGTAGCTTGTCCTGTCAGCAGACAGCAAGTCACTCCAATGTTTACACTGTCCTAAACACCCAAACTGACTTTCTCGCTGAAAATCTCACCTTGGGTGTAAAATCTTTGACACTGACTTTTTGCACAAGCCATAGCTGCCACCACGAGCCACTAGTCTCGTGTACCCTTACCCCACATTTGCTCCTATATTTCTCATTACTACCCTTGCACATTACAACTTGCAGCACTGTATGACCCATGTCGGTTTAGCACAAATTTATATTATGGTACAACTCTTATATGTTTAGCACTTACTATGAATATAATCCACTTTCCCTAGATAATACCATATACATAATCTTCCTAATGAACCAGCCTCACAACGTTGGTTTTGCAAGTTTTGTGTAACTTCACCAGTTATGAAGTTTCTTCCTGCAGTCTCATGAGTATGTACAGCCTCTCCTCACTTAGCGACATACTCATTTACAAACAAACTCAGACTTGTGATAGGCTCTTTGACCTGTATGCATACCTAAATGTATATAGAGCTGATTTTTTTCTATTCCGTTTATTACAGTATGTAATACAATACAGCCTCCCCTCGCTTAATGACGGAGTTCTGTTCCTAAGACCACGTCGGTAAAGGAATTTAGTCACTAACGGCCGATAACGAGAAGCCAAAAAAACCGGTTGATAAGCAGAACAGCTGATAACAGAGGGTCCACTGTATTTCTTTACATTGTTTTTATACAATATTTCTTACATATGAAACTAGTGCAGTTAGCCTCGCTCTCATTTTCTCTTATGAAAGCATGGGAAGATAGAGCAGGAGAGGGAATGGACACTGCCGCCATCACTCGCCGTATTATGGCCTATTTTATTCATTCTAGAGTATGTCATGTTTCTAGGTTAATTATATTGTTTATGTACTATCAGATGAAATGTGGTAGGTAAATAAGCCAGAGAGTTGATGTTAGCGTATATTGAAGTACAGTGGAACCCCGAGTTTCGTACACCCTGACTGCTTTGTTCGGCTCAGTTTTGTACTGACTTTTGTACTGTGCCCCGTGTTTAATACCGTTTGTACCAGACCTGTCCGCCTGCCCGTGTCCCCCACGCAGGTGTCGTGAGCCAATCTGGCTTTGTTTATGCTGAGTGAATACTAACCTGCACGCTCGTCCAAACTTTTTCACTAATAATTCATTGTGTTTGGTGCTTGTTTATAAATTGTGATTGTGAAATAAGCTACTGTAGGCCCAAGAAGGGCTTCCTAGTGGCACCCCTGTGGTAAAGAAAGTGAGGAAAACACCATAGAAGTGAGGAGATGGTGCGAAATACGGTGGTGTGCGAATTGTGGAGTTTCCCAGGATGTATGGCAAAAGCAAATCAGCAGTTGCTTCTATCCTGCCTGTTGTGGAAAGGGATTGTGGCCCTTGGGAAGTCCATGGGGTTAGTGGCGAGGATTGGAAGAGTTGGTGGGCGGGCCACAGGAAAGTAACCACTGAAGAGCTGTAAAGAGCTTCATCTAGAACAGCAT